AGATAGATAGATAGATAGATAGATAGATAGATAGATAGATAGATAGATAGATAAAACATTCTTATATATAATTTGCTGCATTTTATAATGGGCCCTTTATAATGGCCTTTTGTAAAATTGGTTCGGCCCTCGAACGCAGATCTGATTTTCCATGTGGCCCCTGACAGAAATTAATTGCCCACCCCGGTATAGAGTCAGGGTGGGTGAAAGTGCATAGCAGCTGATCGTCGGAGCGAACCAGTTTGCTCACAGATGATCCTCAGAGCTACCAATTTAGCCGAACTGGACTGAACCGGTAGAATGCCACCACTGGGCTGTATATATAAGAGTTGGTGTGCTTCTGTGCTTCATATATTGCTTCTGAATTGTATCTAAACAAGTTTCTTCTATAAATCAATCCTGCTGAATTATTTACTTGTGTACTGGTTGGATCACTGCAATCTCAAACAGGTTATGAGCCCAGAGCACACCGACACACAGTAAACTGAACTGTAATTAAGTCAAAGAACAGCCTGTGTTATAAGCAAAAGAGAACAAGGCTGAGAAGGCTTGCAGGTTGGCTGTTTATTTCAAGGACAGCTCTCTGCCTCGATTGGGACACAAAATTATATTATTTGGCCTGCAAAATTGGAATGCTTTCTGAAGGTTAAGGAGCTCTGGGATATTGTTATTAATCCACCCCAGGCACCATTAGCAGCAGCAGATCAAAGGCAGCATGATAAGGCACTGCCCTACATCATCTTAAATTTAGAAGATGAACAATTCTTGAATGTAGTTGATTTGAAGACTGCAAATGAAGTTTGGCTGAAATTGAGAAATGTGCGTGTGAGTGTGTCAGTATGCAATATTGGCAATCATCAAGACAATTGTACAGAGCCCAGCTGCAGCCACAAGCGAGTGTGGAGCAGCATTTGCTGCACATGCAGAATCTATTTATTGAGTTGAAACAGCGTGGAATGCAGATTCCTCAATCTCAGAAGGTGCTGTTGGTGTTAAATAGTCTTGATGAAATGTGGAACATTGTTTCAGCTGTTTTTGAGCGCAAACCAGAACAGGACTTATGAAGCCCTTAAAGCCTGTTTGCTTTCAGAAGAAAACAAACACCATTTTAGAAGAAGCCAGGAGGAGAAATTCCTGAGGTGGGGGCCCCAGGATCAGAGAGAGAAAAGCAACAGACTGGATGTCTGCAAAAACCAGAGAGCCCAGCAAAGATTTTTTATGAAGAAAGAGAAAGAAAAAGAATGGCTGTTTTTCATCTGTGGTGATAAGAATCATTTAATAAAAGACTGTTTGCAAGCAAGAAAAACAACAGATGGACAAGATGGCTGTTGCAAAAGTTAGCTATTTTAATAGCAGACACAAATGGTTAATAGTATCTGCTATTCTAGTAGTATTCTAGTTTGACTAGTAGTGTTACTCAAACAATTATTAATAATTCAAAATTGTTTTTCAGACTGGATCCAGCTGGAGATGCAGTAGCTTTAGCAAATGGCCAGAAGACTAAATTCACTGGAAAAGGCAGCATGCTGATTCCATGTCTGGAGGAAAAGTTTAGTAACATATTATGTGTGCATGAAATGGAGCATAATTTACTGAATATCTCCAGTCTAAACCAAAAAGAGTTTCAGACCACATTTGTAAATGGAAAGTGTCCCATAAAAAGAATGGAAGTATATGTGCACAGGGCATAAAACAGGGTAATCTTTATATGTCGCAGGGACAAAAGATTCATTGTGCCCAAACATTTGGAAATGTGGCACAACATTATTCATGCATTCAGCTCTTGCATAGAAAGCTTGGCCATACCAGCTTCTGAGTTTTGCAAAAGACACAAAAATTTGGAGAAGGGTTAAACTTAAAAGAGTGTAAGGCATACTTGGACTGTGCAGTATGTAAACCATCGAAGTCCAAAGCATTTCCAGTAAGCAAGAGTAGCACAAGGCAGACAATATGAGCTCTAGAGCTGGTACATCCAGATTTGGTTGGGCCGATACAAGCCAGTTTGGGAGGAGCAAAATATGCACAGGTCTTTGTAGATGATTAAGCCGGTCTGGTTCTGCTATTTACTAAAGAGTAGAATAGAACTGCTACAGAAATTTAAGCTTCGTAGAAAGAAGGTATAAACAACAGGTATCTCAGCTGCAAGTTGACAGAGGTTCAGTATTCATGTCAACAAGTTTTCAACAGTGGTTGGGACAGTTAGGAATAAAACACAGATGCACAAATCCGTACACAGCAGCTGAGAATGTGTAGCTGAGAGGCAGAATGGAGTCTTACAAACAATAAAGGACACACCGCTGGAGGATTCTGGTTTGAGCAGGTCATATTGGGGTGAAGCCATGTTGACTGCTAATTATTTAATCAATAGGCTGTGGAGTTCCTCAAAATGATACTCCATATGCAGTTTTATATGAGAGAAAGCCATCTCTGGCACATTTAAGGGTATTTGGAAGTAATGCATGGGTGCATATTCCAAAAGCAATCAGGAGAAAAGGTCAACCAAAGGATATGAAGGGACTGCAAACAGGTTTACGGGTTATGAGCCTGGCTGAAAGAGTTATTGTTTTAGCGATAGGAGCAAAAGTATAGTGATTTCCAGGTCTGCTAGCTTTGAAAAGCAAAATTGGAACAGAATTGATGCCAATTTTTGGAATGATCCACTTAGTGATGGTGACTCACTTAGTGATGATAACTCACTTAGCGACAGTGTCAGCGTTGAGGGAGGAGAAACTGAAAAAGAACTAGAAAAGGAGTTGGGAGAAGATGATGACTTGGATATGAAGCAAGAGAGGATTGAGCAATCAATGCCATGCAAGTCAGAGCGATGGAACAAGGGAATTCCACCTGACAGGTGTTCTGCTACTGAAGTAAATGTGTGTAATGTGTGGTATGAGCCAAAATGCTATAAGGAAGTATTGGCATTATCTAAAATTGAACAAGTAAAGTAGACAAAATGGACAAAGAAATGAAATCCAAATGAAACACAAATGATTTTGCCATAGGGTTGCAAAGTTGTAGGATGTAAATGGGTGTACAAAAAGAAAGTACTACCCAACAATGAGGTACAATATAAGGCAAGATTAGTTGCACAAGGTTTTTCACAGAGGAAAAATGTGCATTATGACAAGATATTTGCACCAATGGTGAAGAGTGAAAGCATAAAGTTGGTACTAGCGTTGGCAGAGGCAAGTAACCATCAAATTTGGCATTTTGATATAACCACAGCATTCCTCAATGCAAAATTAGAGGAAGAAATTTACATGGTTGAAGCACCAGAGTATGAAAGTAAAGAGCCTAACACTGTGTATAAATTGAACAAAGCCATTTATGGGCTGAAGCAGTCAGCCAGGAATTGGAATATCAG